GAAAGTGACTGTTCCCACCCAGCTCTGAGAATAGTTTGGTAAAATTCTTAGAAATGCAAAACAGCGCAAGTATAAAGACTCTACTTTGACAGCCTGTTATTTAAGTGTTAACAACATTGACAACCTGATAATCATTCAATAAAAAGCAGCAATTTATTCATGCCTTGAGCCTGTGTCTTTCAGCACCAGCTTCAAAAGGGAATTTAAAAACAGAGGTGGCAACAAAGAGCAAGCTTTCTGTTTTTTGCAGGGACAAAGGTCAGGCAGAGACATAACAGGTACTGAATCACAGTGGCACCCAAGTGCAGAGCTCTGTGTTGGTCAGTAGAGCAAAATGACATATACAGTCTATACCATCAGGTTAGTGACTCACCTGACGGCGTGGCTATTTCTTCTGCTATTACCTGTCAAACGCAGCGAGGCGGAGGACGACATGGCCTTTTCGTCCAGCTCCCTAATGTGAACTCTGACCCCGGACACCACATCGGGCCACACACCGTCAGACACCTCGACCCTCAACCAGTAGCTACCAGGCGGGGTGTTCTGTCTGATGGTCAGTATTCCTGTGTTTTGGTTTAGACTGAAGTATCTGAAAAGTAAAGTGGCTGTGAATTACACATAATGGTTTAGTGGAGAAATTAAATGGATTCCAGTGGAAAAATGTTTTTGGAAAAAAAAAAAAAACCAAAACAAACATCTTTCACGTAACAGTATCAAAAATTGATTTGTATTTTAAATCTCAGATGAGGGAGTGAATAGTTACAGTACAATATACAGACAGTCTTCAACCACACTCCTATCTTGGGAACATTATATAGGGGGGCCGAGATTGCTTTGTTCGTTTAAATCTTATTGCATTTTCTGGTGTAGCAATAGCTGTTGAAGTCTATGATTAAAGTTCATTTTTAAGTCTGTCTTGTATAAGAGGTCAGGAAATTGGATCTGAGATTGGGAGAAGTACCTGTTAGACATTAGCCATGTTTCAGACAGACTGAAATAATTGAAAGAAGAAAAAACAGCCTCTAAGCTGAATCCACATCCATTTTTTCCATCCATTCTCCTGCTGGCAATTCCTCTGGTACTGTATAGCTTTAACACTTAGAGATCAAATGTTGGGAAAAAAAAGGTTATGCATTTAACAATGAGCCCTTACTTTGCTGCAGTTGTCTCCAGAGTGTAGGTCTTGTTGTCCCAGTCATCGGGATCTGGGGCATACACCATCCCAAGAACTGCATTTGTCATCCTTCCTGTTCAGTGTAAATACATAAACACACACACACACACATGCACCCCAGCATGCACGCACGCACACACACACACAAACACACACCTTGATTTTGTCTATAGAGAATCTGCTGATTCCAATGCTTATCTTTAGACCTCTCTCTTCTCCTTATCTTGCATTCTTGTGTTCTGTTCCACTTATTATGCTCCTAACTGTGTAGCCCTACTGCTGGATTGGATAGACTCTCAGTGCTCCACTTCAGGAAGTGCGGAGCTTAAGAAAGAGGACATACCTTCGTACCTTAGATTATGTTATTATCCACCTGCAGCTTCAGAGTACTGCAGCTGGGTAAACAATCGCAGCCAAGATGAGCCACGGTGCTCTGATTTTCAGAGCAACCCAAACTACCATAAAGGTAAGTGTGGCATCGGAACACTGACAGTCCAGTGGGTAAAGTCATGGATGGATGGACTGTGATCTGAAAATGTGACATTTAGCTGTGGGCTTAGAAATGTCAGGAAAAGAGAGTGATAACAGATGAGGAAGTTTTTGCAAATGGTAAAATTTCAAACTAAACCCTAAACTTTTGAGACTCCTCCCCTTCAGCTGAAGCATCAGTTTTGCCTCTTTTCCTGCAGAGTGAATCTCTGTAGTGTGAATAAAGGGCAGAGAAAATAAGACGAGGGGCTTCACACAACTCACCCTTACGGTTGTACACGTAAATATCCTTCTCTCCGGCCCGATGGGCGTTATCGTTCTGGTCACCGATGATGATTGTTAGTGTGTTTGTAGCTGTCAGTGGTGGATCGCCGCTGTCAATCATTACCAATGGCAAGTGGAATTCCTTCTGCCGTTCCCTGTCAAATCTCCGCAGGGCAGTTAGTGTGGCAGAGCTGTTCTCGTGATCCTGTAGGTGAAAGTCTGCGGAATATCGTGAGGACAGGGACAGGAGGAAAGGAGGCCCGTGTTCTGCAGAGTCCCTGTCCACAACATACAGCAGTTTTGAGGTCCTGTTAAGCCAGACCACTTGAGGTGGTGGACTGTTCTCCCAGAGTACAGGAGCGTAGGCTGTCTCCAGCTCTGGTCCGTTGTCGTTCCTGTCTAGGAGTGGCAGGTAAATTGTGACAGCGCCAGTCAACGACGGAGAACCCCGGTCTGATGCAATGATGACAAGCTCATAGGCAGACACCGATTCCCTGTCCAAGGGGCTGGAGACTGTGACTACTCCATCTTGACTGACTGCAAAATGTCTATATGGGTCAGACTGAGGAAGAATGCTGTAAAAAATGTCACCATTAGTTCCAGAGTCAGAGTCAGTGGCCAAAACCTGAATAATACTGGTTCCTACAGTTGTATCCTCAGGTAAAGGATCAAGCTGATAGGAGCGTGTGGCAAACACGGGTGCATTATCATTCTCATCCTCCACTTGTACAACACAGTGGATAAAGCTGGAGAAGTCAGAGTCCTCCACTTTGACAGTCAGGTTAAACCGCTGCTTCCCTGGTTTCTCATAATCCAGTTTGTGCTTCAGTCTCAGGATTCCCTTCTGCTCCAGTCTGTGGCTCACCATGTAGAAGTGCTGATCTGGGTCTCCATCCACAATGCTGAACTTCAGCTGCCCGTACCTACCAGCATCAGGGTCCACAGCACTCAGCTCTAAAACAGAAGCGTCTTCATCAGTGCCCTCTAGCACACGGGCGCCGCACCATTCGTCTTTGAACTTTGGGACGTGGTCATTAATGTCTGTCACCAGTATGGTGGCAGTAGCAGTGCCAGTCATACCACCACCATCCCGTGCCTCCACTACCAAATGGTGTTGGTCAACGAGCTCCCGATCCAAGCCTTCTGCTGCTACAGATATGGTGCCAGTGCTGGAATCGATACTGAAGAGGTTAAGACTGTGTGCGTTGGGGGAATTCTCAACAATCCTGTACGTGAGGATAGCGTTCTGGCCCACAGCGGTGTCGTCCAGATCTACTGCTGTCATTTCCACAACAAATGTTCCAGGTGGGGAGTTTTCTGCCACGCTACTGTGGCAATTATCCGGGGCACAGAAGAAGCTAGGAGCATTATCGTTTATGTCCCACACATTAATAATTACATCTGTAAAGCCAGTCAGCCCCTCGCCCTCTTCATCTGTTGCCATGACGACAAAGCGCCAGACGGCACGCTCCTCTCGGTTCATGGTGTGCTGTGCGTACATCTCCCCTGTAATGTCGTTGATCATAAAGTGTGACTCTGCCCCTTGACCATGAATGGAATACCGTATGGCACCTTGGTCTGCGTCTTTGTCAGGGTCAGTGGCCGTCACCTGCAAAATAAATACAACGTCTTCAGAAAAATAATGTTTATTCATTCCAAAAAAAAGATGAAATTACTGCCTTCTCATATCTCATATCACGTTCAGCTGTCAACTGAGGTTTTTTCAGTTTATTTTGAAAACAGTTCATTTTTATGCTTGTTTCTTGATTGAAATTAGCATATATCAATTCCAGACATCTTTTCAGCATCATTTTTTAGACCTACATAGTGCTGTTTTTCCCTGCAGTACCACTGCAGACCACTGTAGGAGTCTCAGTTGGTAATGATGTAAAGGTTGGATTTTGAGTGACAAAAATTTTGATCATGATCAGCTGGTAATTCACAAAGTTAGTCCAGTTAGATCACTAGTCACAGGAAGTAAATCAAAGCCTATCCTTCCCTTGACATTTGCAATTCTATCAGAGATACACAGACGACATCTGCATGCTGGGAGACCAACGTATAATGAATATTAAATGTATATTCACTTGTTGCAAACTCTATGTGAGGTTTACATTTGCAAAGAGACCAGATGAGGGAAAAGAGTAAATTGTAGCAAAATACAAGCATAAAAAACATTGTTTATATTAGTGTAGTTGTGAACTTGAGGGATGGAGGGACAATTTGTAATTTTTTGCACACAATATATTTTGGTTTATCTTGTTAAATTTAAATTTTAAATGCAATATTTAAATAATGCAAAACCATTAAAAATTTAAAATTTAAAAGCCTCTCACCTGTAGCACAAATATGGGCGACCCATCCAGCTCCTCTGTGACAGACCCATAATACTCGTTCATGGAGAAGACTGGTGCCTCATCGTTCTTATTCACCACCGTTACCACCACCGCAGCATAGTCTTCCCATTTCCCGTCGGAAGCGAGGACCAAAAGTTTGTACCTCTTCTGCTGCTCATAGTCCAGAGGTTGCGCAATGAAGATTGTCCCCACCTCGGGCTCAATGTCAAAAACACCACCCTTGTTACCAGATGTTATCTGGTAGCGCAGCTTTGCATTGGCTCCTGTGATTGAGAAAATAGAAAAATAAATAAATAAACAAAAGGTCTTGGTATTAGCACTCTGATGATGACGCCAACTCTCAAAGTTGAGTTAGTCTCGTCTCAGCAGTAGCACTTTACTTCTAGAAACATCAGTACTTATACCCACGTGTGCATTACAACTCACTTCCTCCGAGATCTGAGAACGAGTAGATTCACACGGATCCCTTTCTTAGTTTGATGACTTAATTAAATGGAAAATTCGTACCTCATCTCATCAGGTTTAATCAGATTCTAATTAAAAAAAAAGGATGCAGGAAAAGTAAAAGGCAGCATGAGAGTGAAAAGCCGCATAATGCGCTCTGATAGTGCCCTCCAGGGAAGGGTTTCTGGGTCCAAGAGAAAAAGAAGGATAAAGTCTGAAAAGTTTAACAGGTTTAACTCAAACTCTACCGTGTCTCAAGGGAGACCTTTCAATCTACTGCTGGAACAGTGGGAAAGATAAGATAATAAAGCAGAATGTACAGTCCTCAGTATCAATCACACTGTTGTGTTAAAGCAGCTACAATCCGATGTAAATACACTAATCTCTACTATTAACACAACTTTGGCTGACAAAGTGCTGCCTGCCTCCCACAGGGACCTGGCAGGCTTACAACAGTCAAGCCCAGGGTGGAGGTTTCAAACAAGACAGATTGAGGATAGCCTCTCGGATGCGAGTGCAATAGTATTGTGACTTTAATGTTGGGGGTTGGTGTTATTCCAGAGCTATTTGTCTTTAGTGCTGCAGCTTGGCCTAAGCTGCACCCCTCGCTCTATATAAATACTTGATTAATGGACCTAAACCTGCCTGATAAAGGGATCCTAGGCCACTGCTGTACAGAGGATGATCAATTGCTTTATTGTACCAATCCCATCCACCTACTGTGTGGGAGCGTGTCACTCTTTTTGGACCATATGCGCTTTAGTGCATTACCTAAAACACAAACGACTGCTGCTGCAATTTAACACGCAGGCTTAATTCGAGCAGCGCAATTTTGGCTTCCTGATTTGAGCAGCGTGCATTTAGCAAAGCTCAGGACAGATTGAGAATGGTCGTCAACAAGGTCACTTTATATACAAACCTAGAAAATTGGGTAACATTTGCAAATAAATTAAACCTACTTGGCACGCAGCTCACAGCTGATAAAAAAACAACACTCATAAGGCTAGACCAGAAAGGTCTGCTAAAGTAAAAGACCAGAATAAGAAGGTGCAGAGCTGAAAGCTGTGGAAATGTAAAGCTACTTCAAAACTTTTTTACCGTAGACACTTTGACCACTGTACAGAGACCTCAATGAATATCTGACATCACACCAGAGCTGCTTCAGTGGTTTCCTAAGTAGACCTGTTTGTGAAGTGACACTACTTCAGGTGCTTCACTAGTTTGAAGTGTTTTGTGGAGCGTAGTATGGTTTAAGAATTACAATTGCAGCAAGAGAAAGACATTGAGAGAGAGTGAATGTAAGGAAAGACCACCAGTAATTGACTGGTGACAGTAGGATTTCACTTGTCTCAAATTGGACATTAGGACCTGACATTTACAACTTGGAACATCAAATTGTCAGAATGGGGCAGAAACTGCAAAAAAAAAAAAAAAGAAAACCTGCTAAGAAGTTAGATTTGTTTACATACGGTCTATGTTTTTGACAGCCGTTGTTTGTTCATGAATTCCGTACGTTTTCACTCATTAGCAGCAGCACAATTTAAATGTTGATGACACCCACCAGGGTCTGCCGTCGGCCCGAGCCTACCTTCATCTTCATCATTAGCACTGACAGTGACAACAGCAAGCCCCACATCTGCATTCTCGTCAACGCCGACCTCATACAGTCGCTGAGCGAAGACTGGCTTGTTGTCGTTGACGTCGCTGATGAAAACCCTCACATATGCTGTGTCTGCAGGAATGACAGAATAGAAAAGGATTACAGGGTTTAGAAACCAAGACCCAGAGATACAGGAGGAGAGAGAGATAAAGAGAGAAAGACAGCAAGAGAGGGAGAGCGAGAGGGTCACGAAGCAGAATGTAAATATTTCCTTTCAATCTGTTTATTGATTTTACAATTCATTGTCATTGGTTACTGTGAATAAAGCACTTAACCTGATGCAATATGCTGCACTGAGATGGAAGTCAGTAAAGACATTGTTCACTAAGAAGTGCTATAAATGACATTAATTATTCCTATTGTTGTATGTTTGTTTTCCAAGGTTTTCTAAGAATGAACAGCAGTAATTAAACTAAAACAGTTCCACAAGCTGTTGCTGTTTTCTTTTTTTCCACAGTAGATAAAGAAGCTCTCTCTCAGGGAAGTTTAAATATTTATAAGATGACAAGTGTTTTTGTCTTATCAGTGCACTTCTTGTTACATTGTTTATTTCTTTGGTTAGAAAGAGTACATTATTCCCTCTCAGAGATCTGGAGGCGACATGTTAATTGGCTGCAGTAAGAGGTGGAAGGTGGTGGCCACATGTGTGCTTTTCTTTTCTTTTCTTTTTTTTTTCTTGCTGAATTCCAAGGATAACACAAAGAGACAGGTATTGTTTGCAGAGGAAATTAGACCTTTTGGATATGGGCGATACACAGCACAAAAAAAAAACAAAACAAAACAAAACAAAACACCAACTGCAGAGCAGACCTGCTCCCCCCAAAAAAAACATTCTAATTTTGCCTTCACAAGCAGTGCCAAAAGTCCAAATTCTGATTACAAATGTCACATGAAATATTTCCATATACAGACTTAGGTTTTATGGCTAGAAAAAATGTCACAAAAACGAACACTAGAACCACACAAATGCTTGTTTCTGACAAAATATAAGAAAAAACCCTATTGAAAATGAGGGGGAAAGATAGTGTCTGTAAGAAGAGTGGCACGGAGTGTCACAGCTGTAGTCACACGGAACAGAGTGAAGCTTTCTAGTCACAGAGTAGAATAACAATAGGCTTTTCAAAATCAATTCCAAGGTGTGAATGAAATGCACTCCATAAGAGAAGGCTAATTCTTCTGGTTTATACAGCTATCAGAAACTAGCACTAATGAAACTATTAGAACTGTTTATCTATATAAAGAAAACAAAGGTGCATTACATTGGGGATTACTGTGTGAAATCAGTTTGTGCACCATATGAAGAGCATTTGTAAAATATAAAGGCTTTTTTTTTAGTTTAGTTAAAGTTTTAAAGGAAAGAAATGGTGGTGTGCGATGTGATGATTAAAATTCTCATCATGCCTGACCTGAGTTCGGCTGTTTGTTCTTGCCAGGCCTCGCTGACTCCTGGCCATCTTCTGACTGAACCTCCAACAGGTAGGAGCTGCGGGCCTCACGATCAAACACTGCTTCTGTGTAGATGACCCCAAGATTTGGGTCAATGCGGAACAGATGGTGGTCACCACTGCTGTCGCTCAAAAGAGAGTAGGTGATCTGTGAAGCACAGGGATTTTAGAAATCAGGGAACTAATACAATTTCAGCCCAGATCCTGCAGAAGTACGAGGTGTCATGTCGTGCAGGATAGTCATTTAAAAATAACTCTTTAACAAGTTTTAAACAACTTTTAAAAAGCATTTTCATGCAAAGCAGAAACATAGGCAGATTACTCCAAACCTTTCCATTCAGATCCAGGTCTTTGTCGTGTGCAGACACCTGCAGAACCACAGTCCCCATCTGGGCTCCTTCTGTTACCGTGGCCTCGTAGATGGAGGAGGTGAAGAATGGCACGTTGTCGTTGACATCTTCAAAAAGCATTGCATTCAAAAACAGATAAAGATACATTATGTTTGTGCCAATGTAAACTGTTTGTTCTGTTAGGGAAATTATCGCTCTCTGAATTAATCATTCATAAATCTGAACAGCTAGGTAATCTGCTAAATGATTCATAGAGTTTGAGAAAGAGGAAAAAGTGTGAGGAAAGTAAATGTCATGCCTGTAATATTGACATAAACTGTGCAGAAAGCTGCTAATGGCACTGCCGCAACATTCTGAGCTCGGACCCGGAGAGAGAAAAAAGGTGTGGTCTCATAATCCAACGGCTCTGACACCAGAATGGACGCCGAGCCATCGTCCCGGTTGGGAGAGAGGTAGAAACGCACTGGCATGTTGGTCTCAGGGACCAGCCCATCCTCCAGGTTGTAGGTCACCCTCGGATCACCCAGCAGAGACGTGGCCTTTATTGTCTGGAAAAGATATAAATCCCAGGGCTTAGATTATGAATTATGAAAAATAAAAAACAAAAAACAACCACAGGCATGTACGTTAGAAATTGACAAGGCAGAAAGGAGAAAAGCAAAAAGAACCCCCCCGACCCCCTTTTTTCTGTCTGATAATGAAAATGATAGCACATGTATCTCTGTTCCTGATAAAAGCCTGGGCATAATTAAATTAGCATAAAGCAGGAGAGACAACAGCTAGTCTGGCTGTGTTCCATATGAGTTAACCACCAATGGAGACTCAACGGGACGTCCCTTATTCCATGTGGTCAAGACCAGAGGTTTAGAAACCCAGCATTCAGAACTTACAGTGCACTGCTGTGCAAACCCACTGTAACTTTATTATACAACAATATTTGAATATTTTGTTCTGTGCAATTTAAAGATGGGAGGATGGGAGTAGAGGTGACCAGAAGAGCTGTTTCAGACAAAATATTTTTACATATTTATACAAGATAGTGGGGGCTTTTGCGTGTGTTAAATGTTTAATATCTGGTACTGATGCAGAGTCACATTGAGATCTTGGGGTACATAGTCATGTCCTCTTGAGACCATGATCTTCAGCTTTACACACTTTTTATCCAAAAGATGTTCAGTCAGAACCAACAAACCTTGGGTTTGTGTCAATGACACCAACAACACTGAAGGCAAGATGAAGACTACAACAAACAAAACATGCAGTTTGTCCTTATAAACTGACTAGCTGCCGTCACTCAGACATGCACGTGTACCACGATCGGCGTGTCTCTCGCAGTGTTCTCCGGGACGACAACGTTGTAGCTCTCCTCTTCCCACTGTGGAGGCTGGTTTTTGACATTGGTGATGGTGACTGCGAGCTCCACCGAACTGTTTCGACCTCCCCCATCGGTTGCTATGATGTCACGTGTGATGTAAGTCCTCTGTGGTAAAGAATAACAAATCACATCATCGTGTCATCTAGAGGTCAAACAGTGTACAGTTCTTTGAAGTGATTCAACTTACATCTAAAAAAGTAGATGAACAACTACAGTAAATAAATAAACTTAACACTAGAGGCAGACAAAAGTAACACACACAGCCAGTTTTAATGGGCCACCAGGAGTGTATGGGGGTGCAACTGATAACCAGCAAAATATACAGTATATATATATACAGCAATAACAAAACTAAAAACAAAATCCTGACTGTTTATAATTGCCCCCTCCTGGAGATGACTTGATGTTAGTCTTCAAAACAGGAACCATTTTCTGCCATATACAACTTATGATTGGAAAGGTAACATTTTAAAATGTGTGGTTTGTTTGTCAAAATGAGGAAGTAAATAGAGGCCCGCAGCCTCACAGATCAGTCATCACTGCACATCAACCCGAGTGTCACCTTGGCCTGTGCCGCTGTGATTAATTACTGACTCGGAAATGTCTGTCAAAGGAGGTATTTTTCTGACCTATTGGGAAATTTAAGAGTCCATTTAAAATCATTTTTGACCTTAACTAACAAGTTGTTAAGTACCAACTACAGAGAAGTATAAAAAGTAACATCCTCCGTGATATCAAACAGTAACAAACTTGTATTTGTTTTACCTTCAAGTTGTTTTTCTAACCATCACAACTCGTTTCTCCAACATCAGCAGTAGTTTAATCAAACCAAACCTTGTGTAGTTAGATCACTCTAACACCAGTTCATATTAACCCAGTGGTTCCCGACCTTTTTTCAGCTTGTGACCCCATTTTGACAATACAAATCTGTAGCGACCCCAGAGACATTTTAGTGTCTGTCACTAATGTCAATCAAGACGGGCCAGCTCAGGTATTTTTATATGCTGCATTTTTATTTGAACTTGAAATGAAATAACACTGAGACTGTCCTTAAACACCGCACAGTAATGGTCGTGATATGTACCTTTCCTAACATTATCTTTGATTAGCATGTGGCTATAATCTTACAGTGCACTTGCCTGCTGAAATGTGTTCATCAGCAGTACACTATAGCAGTAATGAGTGTGTAGTGGGCACCATTGTGTAATCAGCTCAACATCAGCTGAGTGGCTGTAATGACTTCTCATTCCTGTCTGAGCCTAAAAGTGTTCTATAAACTCCACACTGGAATCTATTTAATTAAGCCCAGAACAGCAGGAGCAGCAATGCGAGTCTAAAAAAAAAAAAAATTAAACAAAAGTGTATTTACTTTTGTTATATAATTAAATTAGCTGGAAATACAGGAGCAAAATTGACCACAATGCTGCAAGTCATGAAAATGAACAGTGTTGGACGAGCTGGAAATGTTCCTTCAGAGGTGATTATAGTATTTGCTTTTGTTTATCTCAATTAGCTGCAGCTAATGTAATGTGGTGCAGTGATATAGACCTGATTGCAGCACAACAAGCAGGAAATGAAAACTCAGTGCTTTACTTTTTCATATTTGGTGGTAAGTTACAGACGTGTCACAAACCAGGTAAACCAGGATATCCTCCGGGAGAAGCTGGGGATTTTCCCAATGAGCTGAACAAATGTTGGTGCAGGCAGAGACCAAAACACCACTCTCCAAGAGATTCCCATCAAGCCGCCAAGGTACCGACCACAAAAACAGTCTTACTGCACGTGCTCTATGAAGAGTGGAGCAACTGGAGCAGACAGACTTGGGGAATGACTCAGGCATAGTGACGGACAGGGTCCAACTGGGGCTGAGAGGAACTCTTGGCCAGAGGCAAAAAAACAAGGGCAGATTATGTAAAGAACAGGGCTCTGGGTGGTATCACCAATGATCATTGAATTCAGAAATACAATTGAAGAATCAAACACAACACACGTGTCCAAGGTACTGATTGGCTGCGACCGGTGGAAGCAGATTAGAAAATGAATGTGAAGGTGACAGACAGGAGCTGGCCGTGGAGGAGGGTGGTGCCGATTGAAACACAAAGATCCTTTTCGCTCACACAAAGCAAATGTATTCTTTGTGACCACTTACAAGAGATAGATAAGGTGAGAGTTTTTTGGCACTACCTTTTTAATAAAGAAAGACTCGGTTGTCAGGAGCTAACTTTTCACCCACAGGCTGTATTATTCATTCAAATTCAAATCACGGCTTTACAAATCTTTTATTGTGCTGCGCAGTGGCCGCGTAGACACAAACAGAATTTTCACTTAACTTAAAATTAACATTTACTATTCGTGGCACAATCCAATTAACAAGCGAACAATTCTTTTTTTAAACACGTTCAGCCATGAACAGGGATCTTGTTGTGTACTGTCTAGCGCGTACAAGTTGTTTTATTTACATTTAATTAGCGACTGACTGACTTTCTGGTGGTATGTGACGCGGGTCAATTATTAAATGTGCAGAAAAGTCTGAAAAGTAAAGTGGAAACTATCTATAATACATTTGGGATGGAGACACAGAAACCTCTCCTTCGCTTCCACTCTATTCTCCGTGGAGCCGTGCTGTACAGGGAGCTCGCACTGATCAGTTTGGCTCCAGCTGTGTCGTCTCTGGGCTCAGGAATAGTCACTGTTGTTCACTGGCCTATTTCCTTCCTAACGTGGAAATGTGCTGCACACTTCTCCATCAAGCAGGAGGGAGGGGAACTTTCTCAACAAAACCAAACAGTAATGAGAAAATCAAATTAGAACAAAGCGTGTGAGTGGCCAAGGTGTTTAACATTTAATGAAGCGCTTTAAAGTTACAGCACAGCTACGGTGGGATGATTCCAATTGCCTCTCTACTATGCATCAACTTTGTTCAGCAAGGTTTTAGGCTTAACCATTTTAATTTTACATGAAGTCAGAAGCAACGGCACCAGACTTTTAACAACAGTGTGCTGAAAAAGACGGTTAACACGACGGCGCTGGCACGCTAACGCAGGCTCCTATCCAGTCAAGGTCTTTAATAGTGAAACTGAAAAATAGAAAAATGTGACAAACATAGACTGAGTGAAGACATGCACACGATGATACAGCTGTGAAAAAAGACAACCATGATGTAATATTTCATGGTAGTAAGAATAAAAAAACTTGTTATAGCGTTTTTATTTTGTCCATATGTAATGATCCTAAAGTTAAAATGCTGGATTCTAGCAATGGACACAACACATTAATTTTCTCACCTAAAAAAAAATATTCATAACTCTTAATATGGCCCACATCTACTGTAGGGTGTAGGAATTGAGCCAATAACTGAAGCCACAACGTGTCCTCATCTCATCTAAAGTTTAATCCTTTTATCTGTGTAAAGTGATAAGCTGTGTTACGTTTTATCTGATCAGGAAATGATTAATGAATCATTTTGGAATTGCAGCAAAAATTATATTTTTTTATAAATATATTGTCAATCTTTCAGAAAAAATAGTCTTACTTTGCCATTTTAATCAAGCTCCACATGAATTCTTCATTTAGTGCAACTGGATTTCAATCCTTAAATGAGGCAAAAAAAATGCTGATTGTGAACTGATTTTGCCCAGGAGTCTACAAAAAAGGATGTTCCAGATAGAAGCTTCCTTGCAGTCTAGTTATGATGCCTTTTTGCAAAGCATTGTTGTATTAAGGTGACCAGTTTGCTCTGCTTCAGTATGCCTGAGATCAGTGGTTTACACCACGAATCAGCTCCATAGGTACAGTCTGTTAAATACCACCAGTACCACCAGTACTAGAATACATCAGCAGAGTTCAGGAAGAAGAACATTTATTGGTAATATGGTTCTAGTTTATTTAGTTCATCAGCCAAAGTCCACTGCACAATGAAGCTGTACTGTTATATCTGGTTCAGTGCAGGTCAGTTTCAGTCTCAGGTCTGACAAAGTATCCATCGAGGTGAAGAGAAGCCTTTCCAGCACAGATACGTAGTTGAACCAGTCGCTCCGATCAAGTCATTGTTTTTGCAGTTTGTGTGCTTAATGCTGTGCACCATGTCTCACTAACAGGTGCTGTAGAAACTCTACTGCTGCTCAGTTCACTCAGTGTGTTCACCTTGGTCCACCCTGGTCTCTGCACGGCTGCTTGTAAAGCTTCAATTCTCCTGTTTTGCACTTTCATTTTTGAGTTTCAACCTGGGGCTTTTTAACTCCCAGCATTAAACAAAAATGCCATTCCCTTGCATACACAAACAAGCATGGACAAACCATTCTTTGAAGGAAAAAATGGCTGCAGGCTTTTGTTCCAACCAACCAGGAGCACACAGTTTGACCAATCAGCTGTCTGAAGCCTGAGATCAGTTGATTAAATGTGTCCAGTCAGGTGTGCTGCTGCCTGTGGAACAGATTGCTCAGCCCTGAACTAGAAGGAGCCCAGTACCACACTAGTCAACAACAGTTTAAAACCAACTGCCTTAGACATTATGAGAGGATAGATGAAGCCCCATAATGCAAATCCATAAATTTACATCCTTGATAGGCCAATATTTGTGACCCATATCAGGCAAACATTAGCCCCAAGCTGTCCACAGCATTCCAAAAGTCAAATGTTCCCAAGTAGAAAGCGATAATACAGAATTAGCCCAAACATGAGCCATTTAGTGTGACATCCAGGCCACCCATTGCCCAGAGTATCGCATATTTCCAAGAAAAACCTAAAAAAAAATTAGGCCACATTTGTTTGATTATACATACGGGCCAGCTTAACATCTACATTTCCTTATTCAGATGTGAGCCTCTATTGCTAAAGTGGCCCACAGAGACATTTTATGATAGGTGAACGTGTCCAGGGATCTCCCCTCAGAGCACAACTTGAGCCAGACAGGAGTAAGGAGCACAAGCAGGCGCCATTTGAATATGGCACAAGTTGTTTTTTTTCTAAACGGGGTAAAAAGGTCCGTGCAAGAAGTAAGAAAAAAAAAAAAGATGGAAACAAGTACCTACGAGTGTTTAAAAAAACATTATTTAAGAATGTTCACCTCTGAACAGAAACAGAGCAGTGAATTATGAGCTTCACGCCTCAGCAGTGAGTGATTTGAATGAAGCAGAGTGCAACAGATCCTGCTGCTCCACAGATCTCTTTCATATTAGTCTACTTCAAGGAGCACACAGTGTTATATAGACATTAAAAGCTGACTGCTGCAGACTGACCTGTGATATGGGCTGGTTGACGTAGACCCACCCAGTGACTGGGTTCACCTGCAGGTACTCGGGCTGCTCTGAGGACATGGAGTAGGTGATGGCTGCGTTGGTGCCAAAGTCGTTGTCATGAGCCGCCACACGTAGAAAACTTGTTCCAACCAGAGTGTCTTCTCTCAGAAAGTCTACAGGGTAGAAACAGGTAACGTGTGCAGAATGAGTAGCAGTTCTCAAGGCTGAAGGTAAAAGACAGGGAGTGCTCAAGCATGAGAGGTGTTGGGGACTTTTGCTTAAATGCATTAGTATTTTAAGTTTTTACCATCAGGGAGACCAAGGTATTTTAACGCCTATTTCACACGGACATGAAATTCATTAAGCCGGGGAATGGATGATTTATTTTTTAACAGCATGTAGCCACCAACATCTCTAACTCATGACTCTTTGCCTCAGAACTTTTAAAGGCAGTGAGTTTGGGGTGCTTCAGTGACTCAGTAATATGCATTTAGATAACGGCAACACTTACACTCATACCGCAAATTCTCAAACTTGGGGCTGTTATCATTCTGGTCCAGTATTTGGACGGTGAGCTGACAGATGCCGATGAGCGGCTCCTCTGCCCAATCAGTGGCTGTTACTGTAATCGCATACTCCCTCTGCCGCTCCCTGTCAAACTGTGCGGCTGTCACAATCACTCCTGTAAATGCGAAAAAATAATCAGCCTCTTTCCTCGTCACCAACAGAACACAACCACATGAATAAATATACTCATTCTGCCATTTGGGAATTCTCCAATAACCCGTCCATGAGTGCATCCAATCATTCAGCAATCCATGTCACCGCACATCCATCCATCCATCTACCCACACAGTCAGCCCAACACAAAACAAGAACACAAACGTCATCAGTTCATCTTAAACATTACTTTACAGTGCTGTGAATTCATGACTAGCTCTCCAGACGAATGACTGTGAAACAATGTCTTTTGATGTGAGGACAACAACTGTATTTGCTGTTAAATGAAATCATTTTTGCACACCGTAGATACGTTTCCATGCAAGGTTTCACAGGATTATTCAATAAATATTAATTGTCTGTAGTATTCATTTTGTTGTTCAATTTCAGTTCAGCTGCACTGACCATTAAAAAAGTCAATTGTCTGTCTATAGTGGAAACTCTGCTCGGTGTCTAATTGACACTTATTTTAGCCCAGACAATCTGTGCTACCTGTGTCTGCATGTATTCTGAAGGCAGGCATGGTGCTGTCTCTGTGCATTAGGCCATATTTGACTTTTCCATTTGCTCCCTCATCTGCATCCACAGCGTGCACTTGCAACACATAAGTCCCCGTCGGCTGGTTCTCCAGCACAGCAGCCTGCTCACGATATTGCTGGCACTGAGAGAGAAAGAGTGGTGGGAGGGGGAGGGAGTGGGGCAGGGAAGGGAGAGACACAAATACTTGAAACAATTCTTCTATATGAGGATATACAGTCAGATAATGGGACATTATTAAAATGCAGGAAAAGGTCAGTGCAAACATGCAGGTACGGTGGTACGCACTAAACACAATATAGTCAGTATATAACCAGCAGTGCACATGTGAGCCAATGAAATCACTGGAACTGAATCTTTTAAGAGGCAGCAGCTAAAAGTTTAGCCATGAATTCAATCCATTCTTTCTAATGAAAATATGGCCCAGATAAGGAGCTTCTCTTCTCTGGAGTCTTTTCTTTTTAATCAGATATATAAACTCTTTTTTTTCTAACCGATTGAATGAAAAACAGTTGAGGCAATGACAGAAAGTAAGATGAATACTAAAACGAAGAGAAAAATATCCACAAACTTTGGCTTTCTTTTCCAGCTGTTTAGAAAAATATAACCCAAACCCAGATGTTTCTGATAAAATATCATCATTTCCAGCTCAGACAAAAGACCATGGGCGCTTTCGCTGAGCATTGATATGTCTTCTGCTAAAGTTCAAGTCACTCCTCTCTAAGAAGGAAGTTAATTAAACAGGTATAGTATACGTGTGATTATATTGCATATTTTTTCCCCAGTAATTAATTAAAATCCCAGTGGAGCGCCTAAAGATAGAGTGGGTGTGAAGGCTAATCAGAACTCATGGGAAAACAGAGCAGAGAGAAATGCTGGCCAGAAAATGAAAATGCCAGGAAAAATATATGAGAGGTGAAGAGGTGGACGAAAAGGGAGCGGCAGCTGAAGTGCACTCAGAGGATGAGACAGACGGACAGATGAGAACATACTCTTTGATTTCAAAACACGGCGACACAGCCACTCTCAGGTAAGACAATCAGGAAACCGCTTTGTCCGATTTGAAAGAAGTACAGACATTAGAGTGTATATTAATGTGTACGCGGTGATATGTGTTTTCATTTGTGAATAATGGGATTCAAAATAGAGCGTAATTAAAGGCATACACTGTCAAAGGAGTACGGCTCTACTCCACACCAAATTCCCTGTGGAATAACAAGATCAGAGTCATATAAACAATACTGCACTCAACCAATAGTACAAGGTTTTTAAAGGGAATACATTACACCACCCTTTATGCAAATTAACATGGTTCTCTGTATGAATGAACGCTGAGAAACATGCTGTGGTTTCTGTGCCTTTACCTTTAAATGGTAATGAGCCACTGGGGGAAGACCTGAGGACGGCTTCATGTAGCCATGGCAACAGTTGGACAACAATAAACGGTGATTTTTTTTTTCTTTTTCCAAAACTTAAAATGCACCAGGTTTCAATCTTAATGACGCAAAGACAGGTTGTGACCTGTTGCAGAGACTTCCTGAAGAATTCCCTGACAAAGCAGTTCTTCTGTGGAAACTCTCAGAACAGAACAGCTTAGATGTTATTCTTTATAAAATAAAGATTTTCTGGATTTATCTTAAACCTTTTTAACCTACACTCTACATGTGCTGTAGTCTGACATCATGTTTCCTCTCAGACCATTTCATTTCTACACAACAAGGTGAAAAAAAAACACGTTTTAACTCAGCAGGACACGGGAGAGCTGCTGCTCTACTGATGTCTCATTTGGGAAGCAAGTGTCATGAGCACATGAAAAACCATCAGCTCGGATTTCAAACAGGGAAGTTTCACAGCGTGTTAAAACGTAACAATGAAGACTGAAGATCAGTTGATCAAAAACCAGTGTTTGGGTGAAAAAACACTAAAATTTGTCTCCTGACTCTAGGAATCAAAGCACTACACGAAACCTTGACTACCTGTTAGAAAAGGATGTTTTAAGAACAAAAATAAAGGGAAATGCATTTTGATTTTATTTTTCAGTCTGTAACTGACTGAATAAAAAATGTTGCTCAAAAAAAAAAAAGCCAAGAATGACCTTATGGTTGAATATTGGAATATGAAATTAAAGAACATTTCATTTTTATTCTACATGTGCATGGCTTGTTTGTCGATCAATGTTCTATTCACAAAATAATATGTGTAGTATGTGGGTGTAAAATGTGAAGAGAGCAGCCGTTTTATAAGGCATGAAACATCACACTTGTCCTTCAACAAGACCCTTTACCTCTTCAAACACAGGTTTGTTGTTGTTAACATCGTCGACTCCTACGATGACCCGAGCAGTGGACGACAGAGGATGAAGACCACCGGATGCATTATCATCAGTAGCCGTCACATTCAGGATGTACTCCAGACCTTGAAGCTTGGGTAAAGGACTGGAGCGAAGGCGGATCAGGCCTACGAAGAACGCAAACCCATTAAATAACACATTTCAATACATGATCTGTCATGAGACAGTGAGTACAACAGTTCCATTAGCCATTAAGAAACTGTTCTTTCCACAGTGGCCTTGCATGGCAGAGTATGTGCTATCAATAAAAAACCATTAGGGTTTAGGCAGCTTGTTGTTATTGTTGTTCTTGAAATTGTTGTTGTTGTTGTTTTGTTTTTTTTAATCTGCAGAGAAATAGAGTAATGGAAATACATTCCAGAAGTCTGCAGAAAGGTAGAAAAAAAAAACAATACATATGCAGGCTAAATCTAAAAACTCATTTCCCAGTGAATATCTTATCACATTTTCAATCTCCTAATCCTAATCTGGTGTGCTGTCTAACTCACTGCACAGCACTAACTCAGTGAACAAAGACCAGTGAGTTTGTCAGGTTAGAAGTGAACTAGACTCAGCAAATGCCCATTAGCTGCACTTCTCCTCTTTCGTCTGTTCTAATGTAACAGTAAAAAGTGGGATAAAAGGATGCAGCGTCTGAGCCAACATATTTCTCGTCAACAGTAATACAAAAAAACATCAGAGGTTGCAGAACAGGGACTGGCGTGTGATGTGTCTGAGTCATTGAAGTAAGAGCAAGGGGATGTGTTCTTCTTTTTTTTCTTATTTGCTCTCTGTGCATTTGAATCCATCTCTTTGGAGGCTCCTGATTAAAGACAACGCTGCACCTTGACGCACACAGATGTGATTTCCTCCCCGTCTTCGCTCACTTCCAATTTACTTATGAGCCAGGCAGCCCACAGAGGACAGTTCCAGTTCCTAATGACAATACGTGACACTGACTGAACTGCACCACTACATTGAGACAGAGTAAAGTGTTGAATGTACAGGGTAATTCTTCCACCTTAAATGTCAGGCTTGTTTACAAATACAACATGAGCTCCAGCAGCGGTTCAATGAGCCAGTACACTTTGTATATACAGTAAATGGGAAGCTGCATAGTGGCTTTCCCTGCAATAATGGGGCGTCAGCCTGCTGAGTTTTTTGGCTCTGAAGATACACAGAAATAAAACATAAATAATAAAAAAAACATATAAAAAGATGACAAAAGAAAGAGGAGTAGGGTGGAGTGCTGCTGAAGATGGTGGGCTACGATAGGGCAGTTGTTGTGAAATTGAATTGAAAGGGCTGGGTGACAAATGTCACAGCAACTGCCACTGTTTCAGATCAAAGGGTAAATAAAAAAGATAAACCTGTGCAGCCTAGTCATCGTGAAATTCTACAAAAACATGGCAACTATTTATCTCCGTATGAACCAAAATGAAGACCCAAAGGATGGAATTTTCCGAAATAATGCGACCGTGTGTATTTATGACTTCATAATAGAAAAGTCATCACATGAAATGAAAGCACAGTTTTTAATATCGGCTGTCGATGTCCTCGCACAGCTGCTGTGAAAGTGGAGGGCATCCACTGCACAAAACGGCAGCAAAAATGTGTTACAGAAAATTGAATGTGTGATTTGACGGAAAGCCTGTCAATTAGAGGCAAAGCTGCAAACGTGTAACCCGACTGTAGAATGAAGACTTATCACCTTTCTGGCTGTCAATGATGAAGTTTCCCTCCTCATTGCCGGCCGTTATGGAGTAGATTATGCCATCACCATCTGGGTCTTTTGCCAGCACTGTAGCAACAAGGGTGTTGGGCCCCGCATCCTCAGAAACAAACGTTCGATATCTGCAGAGACAGAGCTTAGGTTGAACAATTCCTGGAGATTGAGTCACAAGTCAGTGGCATAAACGCACACAGACTGTAGGGATGCATCATTTACACCACCAGAGCATCCGCAGGCTTATGTTTGTTGCTTTGCCTTGTCACCGTGATTTAACCTACACTCCTAGCTGGCAAGACCCGAGACAAATGATGATGCCTACTGGGATGTTGAACAAACGGTGCATCCATACAGCTAGCCCACCCTGTATGTGATCCATTGCCTTTTAAAACGTCAACAGTGATTGGTGATTTGCTTGTGCTTTGGAGCTGTGCAGCATGATGGAGGCACGAGAGACTGATTTGCCCAAGTGGTGTAGAGCACCACTGGGTGGAGATGAACCGTGGGAGTTGGACGTTGTGGAGATGAGGAGAAATGGATTAAAGAGCAAAACGCCAGAGAGCAGAGAGGAACAGGTGACAAAAAGGAGGAGTAGCACTAAAATAAAAGGTAGAGTAATGTGTGGGAACAGGGGGCGGGGGCGGGGGGGTGTTCTCAAAGAGTTTGAGTTGATTTGTCAGCAAAACTCATCCCCGTGAGACTTCCTGCCGTATCGTCTTCTGATGCATGTGTCCAAGTGTGTGTGTCTGTGGGGTGGGGGAAGGGAGTGTCTAGTGTGTGAAGACAGAGGTGATTGATGGTTTACACAAAAACGCTGATGAGCGATTCATCTCTGCCAACGAGCGCCGTCTCTTTGGCAACGTCAGTGACCTGTAATCTGTCACCCGGCTCCAGGACCACCTCCTCGTAACTCGGTGGGACAAGACATACTGTATACACTCCTTTTGGCTTTTCTTGCCAATGCATTTCCCTGTGCTCATTGAACTGTGAAGTTCAATTCTGAGCTTGTCTGTGTGTCTGTCTCTTTCTCTAATGTGTTTCCAAAAAGAGGCCCCGGTGGCCAGTTGAGGTAGTTTGACACATTTATGGGGCAAACCAACAGAAAACTAACTTTTACAGCTACAGCGACAAAATCAACATTTTAGCAAGATTGTTTTTTCTTTATGCTAAAGGCTATTGAGGCTACTTTTTTTTTTCTTTTTTTCACCTCTAGAGTTTCTGGCCTTGGCTGTAGTTGACTTTTTGCTTCATCAGCTATATATTCTGTTTACTTTTGTCTACATTTTTGACTTAGTTGGATCTATCTATCTATCTATCTATCTATCTAGTTATCTATCTATCTATCTGTCTGTCTGTCTGTCTGTCTGTCTGTCTGTCCGTCTGTCCGTCTGTCCGTCCGTCCGTCTGTCTATCTGTCTGTCTATCTGTCTGTCTGTCTGTCTGTCCGTCTGTCCGTCTGTCCGTCCGTCTGTCTGTCTATCTGTCTGTCTATCTGTCTGTCTGTCTGTCTGTCTGTCTGTCCGTCTGTCTATCTATCTGTCTGTCTATCTATCTGTCTGTCTATCTATCTGTCTGTCTATCTATCTGTCTGTCTATCTGTCTATCTATCTATCTGTCTGTCTTTCTTGTCAGAATAGGTGCAGACAATGCTTTTTGTACTGCTGAGCAGCTTGTACACTGACATTGTTTGAAGGTGTTGGCAGTGATGTGCTGGAATCCACTGCTCACTGATGCCTCTACATGGGTCTACCGGTGAAAAACCCTGGCAGAACCACCAAAGCCATTCCTGGTCACAGCAGATCAGGCCACACTCCCTCAGAGAAACACATGCCCGGTGAGTGGGGGCACGTGAAGCAGCAGCCAGTGAACGTTGTGAATCTGATTTGCAGCTTAATCCCCGGTGTTGCATTTCAAAATGCTAATTTAAGTGATTGGAAGCGGTGGCTTGTACATGCTGTGCCTTTTATTTTTGCAAAAAATAAATTGTCTACATTGTTGAAGTTGGAACAACCATGAATTACCTGGCCTGCATGTCTGACTATTTACATTTCTAACGGCTCCTTGCCCGTTGCTTCCATCACTTGTAGCATCTCTCCAGCTCACTGAAAAGTAAGCTAGGAGGACATGCCAAGAAATAATAATCTGCCCAACCGCATGTCCAAGGATCTCATTTGGTCTGACATTAGCCTGACACAATGTTCATCCATCTACTTCTATGTCTGTCTTGTTTTGTTGGCGCTGTCCTCCCCTGCTCTCACAGTGCTTATCTACATCTCAGTGAGCCACAGTATGATAAAGCAGCCAACATGCCCTGTCTGGCAAAATGCCTGCCGCTTTGGCATGAGTATTTGTCTGGCTGTTGACAGGCTTTTCTTTCTATTTGAATACCATAGCTGACTGGCTTCTGTCTCCCCACAACATAAGTTTTAGTGACTTGGAACTCAGCTTCATTCTTTGTTGTTGTTTTTTTCCCCATCACTTTTATGTTTTTCCCGTTTCGTCTCCTCCTTCTACCCACTGGTTTGTTTGGCTCTTTGTCTGCCCCCCCCGCTGAGACTGACACCTGACAATGCAACAAAGAGCTGGGAACAGAGGTCTACACCAGTCCTCTGTGAAGGTCATTGATACTTGACTGACAGGACAAGTGGCTCGAATGTTTGGAGGAATAAATTCCATGCAGTCAAAGTGACAGTAACTACCTGCATTCTGGACCAACGTTTGACCAAAAAAGAAACATGCGAGGACACAAAGGACTGCATTCTGATGTGACAATAACATCAGAGTGGAGGCCAAAAATAATCTCTGTGTGTAGTGGAACGGAGGCTTGATATCTTTACAGTACCGGGGCAGGAAGACTTTTTTAGCAACATCTACCATCCTCCCCAATGAACGCACTATGAAAGTAACAATGTGACATGCTGTTTGTGGTTAATTTGCCAGTGGTAACAGGTTGTTCTGACACCCGGTGACTGTGATGACGGCCCGCATAACACATAAACCAAAGCAGGAGCTGCTTGTTGGAAGAATAAGTGCAGCTGACATATCTTTATGTGAATAAATGTACGTGTGCATGTGCTAATGCTAACATGTGGTGAACTAACATCTGTATCTCTACAACAATGGCATTGATTATCTTCATTTCCAAAAAAAAGTAAATAAACGGTAGGTGTCAAGTTATTATGTGAATGCAGGGAGTCCTCGGTTTATGACTTCCTTGATCTATGGTGTTCAGTGGTTAGCCCCCATATCACTTTTTTTTTACTCTGACTCTGACTCTGACTCTGATGTATTTGTGTCCTAGTTTATGATGTCACCACTGTATTAGCATAGGTGAGTGACACAGGTACTAATGCGCAGAATATGAGTTCTGACTTAGAGCGAAGACCGGGTTACGCCGAGTCACTCAGATGTAAGTCTAGGACCTCCCGTAAATATATGTGGGCATGTGCATGCTAACAGATGGAAACATTTGTATTTCTACAAGTAGTGCATTTTATAAAATTAATTTGTTATGTTTGCGAACACATCGACCCTGCCCTGAACTACTTGTTTTACACTGTGGACAGGAAGTCTGCAAGTTTGTTTTTGTTTGTTTTTTTGTTTTTTGCTATTTTATCTAAAATCAGTAAATTTTAAAGTTGTCACTTTCATTATCATCAATTCATGTTATATTTTTTAATTGACCAGATTATTATCTGCATGGGAGAAAAAGCTTCTGTCAAAGAAGCCGGCTAATCAACTTGTTATTGTGATCAAAGTGGCCCAGACGAATGTGATTACTATCTGAAGTCTCCTCTGTGTTGGCAGTGATTTTAGGAATGCAGTTTTCATGAAGGCTTGGCAGGGCTTCCAGTATCAAATACTATTACAGTAAGTAGTCTGAGAGGAAGAATTGTTTGATGTTTTGTCCGATGCTGTTGCAGCCGTGAGAGACCTCTTTTGAATCCCAGTGCTGCTGCTACTTTATCTGTTCAGATGGAAAAGCTTTGAAATATTACCGTGTGGTAAGTGATGAGGCAGCACAGGCGTGACAAACATCATCTACACTTGTCACCTGAGGGACAAAGATTGATCTCTGCAGCACACATCTGAATAAATGCCCACATTTGACTTTTGGGACACAGGCTTCAGTGGCTATAATAATAAATGATGAAGAAACTCGAAGGCACAACAACAAAAAGGTGCAAATAAACTTACTGTATGGTTTTGTTTTATAAACTCACTGCATAAACACACAAACGCAGATATACACAGACTGCATTTGGTAATTGCTTATTGATCGACTCGGAGAGTTTTTTTATTATTATTTTATATAGAGTACGTTTCGGTTGGAATCTCCACCATGACAGTCATAGTGTTGTCAATAGTGTTAAAAGTTGGATATCGAAGAAAGAAAATAACTAAAAAGTCAAATTTAGGTGATTACATTCCCTCAGTTAGATCACTCTGAGTGTATGGTGGTATGTTGAAGTGATGGTTGGTGGAAAATACAAGACCAGCTCAGAAGAAATAGTTCTTTAACTACTGTTAAAATTACTAACTTTTTGTAAGATTTCTGGGAGCAAATGTGTGGTTTGCATACAAACATTTGCTCGCTTTTAGTACTGATGTTTCCTGTGTTCCCAGGACTGTTTTGGTAAAATTAACCACTGACCTTTTTTAAGACTGAAAACCTACAATTAATATTTTCTCAAAAAATTGGAAACCAACATAAATAAATATGACATCAAAAATAGAAACACAATGTAAAAATCTGAAAATATTAACAGGTATTGTCAAAGAATTTGAAAAGGAAAAGCTGCTGCTTACACAGGCTGTGAGAACTCGGGGGCCTCGTCATTGACATTCGCCATCCTCACACGGACAGTGGCAGTGCCAGAGTGAGGCTCGTCGCCATTGTCCACTGCCATCACCACAAACTCATACAGATGATTGGGCCTCTCGTAGTCCAGTCGACCCGCAGGGAACACAGTTCCATGTGGTGAAATGCTGAAGTCTGGGCTCAGGGTGTAGTAGGTGAGTTCAGCGTTCAGCCCCGAGTCACAGTCGGTGGCTAACACTGACAGGAGGAAAGAAACACACAAAGACCAGCAATTAACAGTTAATCCAGATGAGCTGATGAGTGTGTGACATTGGTGTGGCTCGTTATCACTTCATGGCCCAGCTACACATGTCATAGATCATAAGCTGTGACAGCTACAATTACTTGTGCACAAATGGCCGTGAGCCTCTCTGACGTGATTGGCATCATTTTCTAAAATGATCTTAAAGACAGGAAAAAGACTAAATATGAAATGGTGTATTTTCTCAAATGTGATTTTGTTGTGATGCAATTTAAAAAAACAATAATAGACACAGTATATCTTTAATGAAAAGTGAGTAGACTCAGTGACAGTAATATTTAAACTGATGTGCTCTTTACTCACTGTTAGTGTCTAGTCAGAGTTAAAACACTTGAATAATGCAGATTATTTTGATGTGTTTTCTTTGTGTCGAGCTCTCACAGCTTGAACACTTCAGTATAGACACTGTTCTCCTTCTATGTCAATATCATTGAAACTTGGTGATTAACTCTACAATATTTGCTTAGTCCGTGGGATGTTACTGACTTGATTCAGTGATCAGTAGCTGAAGAAGTCAAATTTCTCAATTTAATTTGATTCACCCAGATTCTCAGGTTTTATCATTAGAATAAATAGAATTTGGACAGAAATGACAGGTTAAATAGGCAGATTTAGACTCAGAGTGTACGGCTGTTTACTTAGAAATACAGAGAAGAGACCAGAGCTGAGAGACAAGACAAGAAAAAAGTAGACACTTACAAAAAATTCTGTAAATCCAGAACACTGAATATTCGTGTACATTGAGTTTTCGTTTAAAAGTTTCTCACTGGTAAAAATCAATAGCCACTGGTGAGGCACAGGAACTGCTTCTTGCTTCCTATAGGTTCAATATGAAACTGCAGCTGACTCATTGACAGTGACAGTGAGTGAGCCAATCATGGCGCAGCATTACACCAGACCAAAACAGTGTTTGTACAGTAAATATATACATGAAAGTTAGTTAGATATTACTGTGATATTATATGTTGTAACACATTGATTACACTCTCTAAAATCGTAGTAAAAGTAAAAACACAATCTAATGGCGATATATTCTTAAATACTGTTTACATTAGAAAAACATGTTTTTACTGAACTAACATATATTTTGTTAAATATTAACAACTTTAAAAAAAGTTCTCTCTAACATGAAGACAAGGTTTTTCTTCATTAAACTTATTTATAAATTAATTATTATCATTAGTAGTAGTAATAATAACAACAATAATAATTATTAATTATTAATATTATTTTATAAATGTATTATATTAACTTATTTTATTGTTATTTTATTTGATGTTTTGATTCTATTTGTTGAGTACTGGTTTGTGTTTTTCACGTTCCATTCACCACACAGTGCAGCGGCAGCAGCCTCTATCACTCTAGGCTGTTTATTTGAATGCTTTTTAGTTCAACCTGCTTCATTTTTTTTTTTTTTTTCAGGCACCGTGCATTTGAAACAATCACCCAGTCAGAGGTTTGCCTTAAATCACCTATGGTAGCCCGTGGGGGACAAAAACTCCCACAGGTACATCAGCACTTGACAACAGCAAGTTGCAATGGAAAAGTAAAATAAAAAAACAAAACAAAAGAATGATGAATAGTGGGACTTTCTATATTTCTGCTCGAGGTTTATACTGTTTTATATATATTTCATGCCACTTTTTAAGACATGCTTAAAGGAGTTGCGAGAACTCTACATTTCTGACCACCAGGTCTCTCATTCTGACTAAACCTAAAGAACGGCATCAGTTCCTGAATGTTTTTCTCCTGGTTTTTCTCTTAAATACGCAGCATCAATAGCAGAGCATGAACTTATTGAACTGACAGTACAGAAAATATAGAACATACAGTTTTTACACGTATTAATTACTAATATCAATAAAGAGTGTATTTATTTTCATCATCTAAAATCCTACTCACACGTACATTATTAAATCAAATTATGTTATTGAACGTTTTTCAGTGGAATCACAGTGTCATGGTTGATAAAACGTCCTGCCATTATTTATACGCAGCATAATAAATCAAAGTCTTTGTAGCAGTGTGAGTGTGACGCTGGTCGTTTCTAAATCATCTATTCACATCTTTCAGCATGCGTATAATTGAAACATTTTTTCCAGCACAAAGCCAAACAGCAACTCAAGGTCTGAACTGCAGCATCCTCAAAATTAATCCGTTAGCTCTCGTTGTAAAAAAAAAAAGAAAAAAAAGACTTTTGGATAGTCTTTGTCCCTCCCGTTCAAAAGGAAACAGATGGATGTGAAATGTAGAATAAGCTGAGTCTCACCCTGCAGCAGGGATGTTGCCGTGGTTACAGTCTCAGGGACTCCATCCACACTGTAGATTGATTGAAGGAACTCTGGGACGCAGTCGTTCTCATCTGTTATCAACACCTGAACCTGATTAGAGGGTAGACAACAGAAAATCACCCAATCTGTTTTGTGTTTTGGTTTTTTGTACCACCAGACATTCACAACAATCCCAGAATTCACAGCTTTCCCTAAATAGAAAGTGTTGTGAGCATATGTGTGCCTTTTTTTTTTCTCACAAAGGCCCTCAGTTGCCCTCCGTCCTACATCCTCCTTGTCACCACTGCACGTAGAGTGTGAATCTGACATCCAAGTAATAGTCCTGAAATAGCTGGGCTAGGTTTTCCCAGTTTCCATCACCTACTACAGAACACACTGCAGGGCAGAGGCAGCATTTTGGGAAACATGACATGATAATCAAGGAGATAAACATCCCTGGATTAATAATTGAAACCACACTGAATTCTCAAACAGATATATTCCAGACATATCAGGCTGAATAAATGTTAATAAATGAGGGGGGTTTTGATTCTAGGTTGTTCTGTATTTTCTGTCCCTCCAGACCACACTCTCAGCAAAACAGCACTTAGTCAGACAGAGAAAATAAAAGTGAAAGAAACTGCAGAAAGAAAATAATGTTAGAACCACCCACACCTAATCCTGCTGTTGACCTTACAAAACAACTCAGCCATGACATTCCTTTACACAGCTACAAAGTATGCTGTGTCTCCCTGGTGCTTATAGCAAAGTAGTATTAAGTCAGTAGGTCAGCAGTGAGAACAGATCATTGCTGTCCCAGCCTTGGTCGGCTGCTCTGAGCCACCAAACATTAGAGGTAAAACCTGGTCTGACTAAGAGCTTTAGAGAATGTCCAGCGGGGAATCACTACACAGCCAAACACAGTAATACTGCATTTTTAATTGTATTCAAATTCAGCGAGGCGAGGCGAACAGATCAGCTCTGATGTGACTCAGGTTTGGCTGCTGACGTCACAGTCTCTGAACTAACCTCTGTGGCTGTGCTGAGGCCGGCGGTACCTTCACTGGCTCGCACCATCAGCAGGTACCGCCGCTGGTCACTCTCATAATCCAGCGTTCTGGTCAAACTGATCTCTCCCGTCTCCTGCTGGATACTGAAAAGGCTACTTGGATTGATGAGCAGGCTGTAGCTGATAGGCTGCTTCTGAAAGGAAATGGCCGCCACCACCAGGAAACTGTGGAACAAGAACATTATTTTTTCTTTTGAAGGAGTAGAAAAGGAGGAACCCGGTATTTTCCATTTCGGCTGCACGAGACTTCAATGAAAATCAAATTTCGCTCTCCATACATCAGCACTGCACTAATGAAATCAATTACTACAATGTACGGACCATTGACTACACATCATAAACACAGTCAATCATTACTTGTCAGATCTGGTGCTATAATGAAGATGTCAGTGTTTGCTGTCTACTTGGAAGAGCCGGTGTTCTCCAACACAGAGGTGTGACGACGTGTCTGTTCACGCATGAGTAACATTACTGACACCTGCATTTTAATGCATTTTACTACAGATAAGCCAAACACACGGTTAATGTCTGTGTGTCAGTTTTTATCTTTGCCACTCTGCAGGAACTTAGGGCAGTGGCCACAAATCATTGTAGTACTCTGTCTCCCACCAAGAAGGTCTTGGTTGCACATGGAGCTGCCTCACTTCCCTTTAAATCTCAATCCTTATAAATAAAAAGGTTGGCATCAGGAGATGCACTGAGCATAAAAACTTCCCAAATAATTCCCATTTGGAGGCTGTTGCTGAAGAGGGGAGCAGACAGAATGTCTGACTGGCTGACTGACTGAGGAATATGTTTTAAAGTCTCTACATAAATCAGTAAATAATAATAATACACTCTCACTCATGCATTCATCTCAATACATGGCAATTTCTTTTTCATGTGTTTTTGTTTTTTTTAGCTTGATGTTTTCTGTCTCCGTACTCAGACAATGGACCATTTGCACTGGGAACAAAGCTCAGACTGACTCAGATAATGTAAGTCACAGATAACAATGGGAGAAGCTCAGTTCATTTCCAGTGTCCTAGAATGGCACGAGCATGAAGAATAGCCGAGACAACTTTTATCAAAATGTCACATAAAAACGACTGCCAAACAAAGACCCACAGAGCATGTAGAGATACTGCAGGGCGTCAATGGCCAAAGGGCAGAACCTCATATCTGAACAAATTCACATTTGTTTTCCTCATGTCGGGGTTCACATGAGGTGAGTTTTTATGTAAGATCGTTTTACAGATAGACTAAAAATATAAGCATACGACGTGAAATGCTCCAAACAGAGACACCTGCATATAATGATGTGTTGGGGGGGAGCACTTTTGATCCGATTTCTAAGCTGAGTCTGAAATACACCAAAAGCCTGATTTATGATGACCCTAGCACATCATGATTAGAGAAGAAACACTGCTGCTGCAGCACGGGCATTCTACTGCACCATGTGTGACATACTGTGTTCACTGAAGTTATTCAGTATCAAAGTATTTTGATTATACATTGGCTTAGATTCCAATACTGCACATCTTCCTGCGTCATTGAGGTGGAGGCCACATTGCATTTGAGATCTATTTTCCACTGGTATAATAATGATTTTTCCTACAGTAAAACACTCAGTCTTATATCTGGTTTCACCTCAGATACCATTAGGAACATTTGAATGGTGACGCTGAGCCTTGTTGACCAACACAATGTTGTGAAGGCTTTGCAAATTGCAAAGTGTGAATAAAAAGCAGCAGCAGCGTTGAATCAACTTGAGTCATGATGTGGGCTGTTTTTATTTCTTTCTCTAGGGGAGCCGTTGTTGCAGTTTTTTCAATTAAGCAAGGACATATTTTCTGGGACTTGGACAGTACCAAAGTATCAGGTTGGTATCTGTATCTGCAGATACCTAAGGCCATATCCAGCAGTGTTACCTGTATCACACTGTCATTTTTTAGTGAGGAGTTAACTGTGTACCTTTTACAGACCAAAGTCAGAGTTGATGGTCTTTGGCATTAAACCTGTTCTTTGGTTCACTTCACAGATTTTACTACAAGATTTAGATCAGAGGCTGTGAGCAGGTGAGTCAGTAACATCCACTTTGGCTCCGAAGGAAAACTTTGCCAGTGCTGAAGTTTCTTTCAAGTTATGTTAAAGACAAAATTGATAACCCAGATCTCTGGAAGAAAATATTTCTTGTTCCCAATATTCTCACTAGATTCCTGTATCCAGCACTAGACCAGCGAGCCTCACCGCTGCTCTAAAATCTCTCTGGTTGCAAAAGCAATAATATAATGTTGTCTTGGCTCCAGAGCAACTGGAAGTCTTTGGAGAAAGGTTGCTACAGTTGCTACTGATTTCTTCTGTCACACTATGTTTCAGAGGGCTAACTGATTCATGATTGTGTGTATTTACCCAAGACACCTCAGACTCATCCCTGGCTATGTCTGTTTTAAATCCTGTTTTATCTCTGTGTTGTTCTCAACTGTATGGCTCTCTTTTAACGTCCTGACATCACTCCTCACTCCAGTTCATGACAGTTGTTGTTTTATCCTTGTTATGCTTTATGAGCAGCAACCGTCATTTTGTCAGATCTAAAGATAGTTTTTTCTTCTTCTTTGTCCTGAAAAATGCTTTTAGAAGTCACAGCCAAACCTTTAGCAAAGCTTTTATGTGAAAAACCTGAAAGACAAACTCCAGCTTCCACTTGATTCTGATCCATGAGATCATCAGGTGGATTGTGAAAAATAATCCAGTTTCTCTTAATTGGTCTGAGACTATTGTTTACTAGTTACTGTTTCTTTATTTCAAGTGAAATAAAGAAATTATAGTAGAAATCTTATCATTGATTTATTCATTTTCTTCTGGATTATTATGTTTGTGGAAGCCTGCGACAACTTATTCACAGCTATGGTCAGGTCTTTTTTTGTTTGTTTTTTTTACTTTCTTCCAAATAAAATAAAAAAATAATGTCCCTATCACCATGTACTTGGACATGGAGAGTAAACCGAAATACTAGCAGGCAAATATAGGACAGGAAATGATGAGAATGGGTCACCTTCTTTGTATTGAGCTAAAGTAAGTACGTTTTAAGCAGTTGATATTCATGTGTTGAATCAAACTCCTTCTTCAACTTCTACCACTTTTTCTTTAATGTAATGAAACAAACTTCATGTTTCTACTTGGTAAATACAAAAACATACAGCGGACCCTCAAAAGAATTCCCGAAATACATGTATTCCACTAGATATTTCCTCGTGATACGAGGAAATATCTAGTTACAAGTGCTCAACCAAGCTCCATTTTTCCACTCGACACTCCTATTTTATATTATCCATATATTTGTTTATATCGATGTTTTTTGATGGGGGTTAATTTGATTAATTAATAGTACATTTCTGGGGGCTTGAATGAATTGATTAGTTTTTAGTTTTTTTTAATGGGGAAAATGCAATCGATATACGAGCGGATCGACATACGAGTGCTGTAGTGGAACGGATAAAACTGTCCACTGTGATTTGAAAAAGTGTACAGATATGTAGACATTTGTCTGCAGCCCACCATTACTTTAACATGAAGCATGGTGATGTGAAGAAAAGCTCTCAGAGTCCTGTATGGCTTTTTAATCAAGGTAACTGCTTTGAATAATTTAAGTGCAGGCAAAATGAGCCCGAGAGTGAAGCACGTCGTACTCACGGCTGTCCTTCTGGTGTGTTCTCTGGTATAGAGATGGCGTAGCTCGTGTTGGTAAATTGCGGCGCTCTGGCTCCTGCCATCACTGAGAGCATGGCGGGGGCACCGCGGCTGCCCAGACCATCGAGGGCCACAACACTTAACAAGTACTCTCTGTCCCTCTGAAGCACCAGTCCAGTTGTCACCACCTGGCCTGTGTTCTTGTCCACTGCAAAACAGCCGTCGCCACCTACAGGGAAATGAAACATCATTCTGTGGAGCTGGTCTCAAAGCCATCCAAGGTTGCTGGCTGCAACACTAACTCAGAAATGTTACCCAACTGGCGTTCTCAGAAAGCCAGCCTGGGAATGTTGGCTGAGCAACACATTTCACCAAGTTGAATTAAACACAGTATTTGTTGTTGAAAAAAAAGCACTGAAGTAGAAGAAGAAAATTGGTTTGATTTGGAGAAGCGATCAGGCGGCCCGTCAAACTACCCAATCAGGCCCGTAACCGTATTCGAAAATAAATCAAATAATAATGTGAGGCAAAAATGTCCGGCTCTCAAAATGTCTGTCCAGAAATATTCTGTCCCTCCATCAAATATAGTTGGTGACCCCTGATTGAGAAACGTATTTTTGTTTTTATCAATGCTTTCTAATAGCTTAATATGATCTCTTGTCTTGTAATTGTCATAAACACTCCACAAAGAAAGCCATTCAATGTACATATTTAAGATAGCCTTAGTGAGATGAATCTATGAATGTCTTTTTCAGACACAGTAAGCTGTATTACATTTACTTTCAGCCTATTTTAACTGCAAAACAATTCATTTTGTCAGCACTTTCATTCACAGCCATGTTCAAATTAGTTACAATCTCAGCTCCAATTGTTACAGATATGCCTTTAAGAATTAGTGCGTTACTGCGCTAACCTCCATTACAACAAACAAGGATATAATTAGTCATCGTTCCGTCCCAGATAATAATGAATAATGAGTTTCTAATAGGGAACATGTTATTAGTCAATGTCCAGGTATGCATTAGTCAAACTCTTAACACTTAAATGCTCAAACATAAGTGTGTTATAGAAGAGTGGGTACTGTTTTTTTAACAAATGAAATAAAGACTAAAATCTGTAGTTTGGTAATGTTTCTCCAACCTTTATTTATGAGGCAGAAGACTCTCTGTGTTTTCAATGACTTAATTATGTTTGTTAAACATAAACCAATTTAGAAATGTATGTCGGCACACACAGAGAAGAAGATAAAACAGATGTACATTTATCACTCTGTCACATTCATTCTCACTTTTCTGTTCATTTGAGAACTGGAGGCAGCAGTTGTTGGACGGAGGCGCTCAGCTTCTGTTGTTTGGCTCTCCTACAGTTGACATGTTCAGTATGGCATGTCTGGCATTGTTCTGTTGAAATATTCATTAACCTTCTTGGAAAATTAGTTGTCTTGACATGACGTTGAGTCTCACCTAAATTAAATATTACATCCTCTGCTACAGCCACTAAGACGTGTCTGTGTTTCTAACTCCACGTGTCTGTGTCCATCACCTCAGCATGGAGTCTCGTAACGTTGTGCCACAAAAATATTCAGCGGCAGTTTCACTGGTCTTTACACACTTCTCTTGACTACATTATTATTTAAAGAGTTAGCCCTGTTATGTTGTTGTTTGGCACCCAAAAACTGTTTCAAGTCCTGAGACATGTACCTATAAAATTTGAACCATGACAAAAATTGATATATATTTGCATATCTAATATTATAATAGTCTGTTGTGATACATTATGTTATCTGGAAAAAGGTCAGTGTTATATCCTGCAAAGTATTATATCTTTCAACTTGAATTGGAATCAATCTTCCAACAAAGGCATTGTGGAGGCTAGAACGTGCAAAAGATTTTTTGGTTTTTATGGGGGGGGTGTGGTGTTTTTTTGGGGGTTTTTTTGTTTTTGTTTTTTTCAAGTATTTGTCGTACGTTCAGTAAATGTAGCATAGACAGTGATCACTCCGGTTGAAACCAAAGCCTTAAAACCAGAGACATGAAAAGAGAAAAACAAAATGATGCTTAATTTGTATCTTGTGTGCTGGATTTTCCTAACCATTTTCAGTGGCAGTCATGTGCAGCTGGATGACTGAGTGGATTACACCCACACTAAAAGCAGCTCCACTGAATCAAAGTCATTTCTTCTGTAGGAGAGATCTGTGTCTTAGGGATGGTCGTGGAAATACACTATATGTGTGTTATTGAACAGGGGCCATTGAACACACAGTACTTTGTGAATTCTTTATACCAACACTACTTTGACTTTGACCCCGGTTGTTGTATTATTTTTTTTTTTTTGTAAAGTATATACCAAAAAATAATGCATGTCTTTTTCACACAATGGACTGCAGAAGGCATGGCCATCATTGTTTTTGTTTTGTTTTTTAAGAAAACTTCTGGCTAATGGCTGAGGCAGAGCTGTGGAGCTCTCTTTATGTCCCGCTCCACAGGCCCACTAGTTAGTGAACCTGACCACAGTGAGGCAGCTCCACCTGTAACAGGCCACCAGGGACCGGACTGAAAACGCCTTTGAACTTATTTTCCTAAATATATGAATAAAATGCTCGGACACTTCCCAGGATTGCTGGAAAATATGGAATATTGTTGAGAATGAGCTTTTGATTGGCTCCATTTCCACTGATGCTGACAGACAAAGGCTGCATCTGCGTAAGGTTTGTTGTACAGTATATTAGCCAAAGCGTCGTTCAAAGGAGCGACAGTTCAAAGACTGCAGTGCACTGTGACTGCTCATTGTCAGTGAATGAGCCTTTGTTCTCCTAACCCTACCTGCTCTGTCTCCCTGTGACGCGTTGGACTGACTGATATGTGACTTATTGAGGTTTAGCCGATCTGCTGGATCTTAATGAGGCCGTTTTAAAAGTCTGAGGAGTTTGAAAGTGGAGTCCTTTACATACTAATACGACTCTTTTCTCATACGTTATCTTCTAATGGCCTTGTCAACATAATTGCAGTGAGTTATTATAAGGGAGAACAAAGTTTTCAATATGAACATTCCCTTTGTTGCACACAGTGCAGGAGAAGATGAGTCAACAAGAAGTCAAAGCACTGGACCAAATGCTCAGTGTGGGGAGAGAAATATTGATCACTTATATGTAATTGCAGGATGTTCCATTACATCTTATTTGTCAAAACATCTAAATTACATTTCTGCAACAGTAATGGTGCTATTAACTCAACATCTCCAGAAACAAATATGAAACGACTGCAGTATTAATAATATTCTCTTTCATTCACTAATCACATGCTGCTTTAAAACACTGAATGTATTTTCACGCAGAGTTTCCATCAAACAGGAAGTCGACCAACATTAAGTAGAATTTGTTTTTATCAATAATTTTAGCAAACTCCAACCAGCATGTTGTTGTTGAAACATGCCACAGGGAGACCGCATCCAATCTGTTGACCAATGCAGTGAGACAGCTCAGATCTCTGTGTGAAGGCCAACGCACCCTGAAAGCCCTGCACATACAGAGGAGCAGGGACGGCTGCTGCAGATCGACATGAAACCTCGTATAAAAACATGAAAAATGCAGCGCAGCCGCGGCACAGGAGGTGAGACTAGTATGTGTTTGGACTGTTATTGTGTCCAATCATGCATTGAATGTACACACAGGGGCAGTAAATCGGTTCCCACCGCTTATTCGGCTGCCTGTTGGCGGCGGTGTCGGACAGAGTGCAGCGATGCATGGATAATACACGGATGTAGACAAGTACCAAATGTAAAAAATACAAAGTTGAAAAATTGAAAGATGTGTTTTGCACGGGTTTTGTTTTTTTATGAGAAAATTAAATCCAGTCGTCTGTTGAACTCCTGGGTACATGAGCAATCACAGGGACATTTTTTTTACACAAATCTCCACAGGGTGAAAATCCACATCAAATTTTCATAAGGCTTAAATACTGAAATTTGTGTCCGACTGGCTGTCTGCACTCATCAAAAGGCCAGCGACTCTCTTCCTCTTGAGATTTCCAAAGTTAAGCACATGATAAGAAGGTTGATTTATACTTGTCCATCCTGAACCTGTGACCAGATCATAATCAGTGGGTTACTTTCTACAAGCTCTTACAACCAACCTCACGCTTCCATCTTGATGTGGTGGAGCACAGACCAAAGGTAGCCTGGGGTAATTGTGGTTTACACCACACCAGGGAGATATGTGAGGAACTAATGTAAGTCAGAGGAAGTCGGGGGTGTGGTGGAAAGGGGGGGGGGGGGGGTTGTGAAGTCCCGATGGTAATATTCAAACTTCCTTCATCTTTGACATGCACACAAATCTCCATCCCCTCAAACACCAGGAGGTGCGCCACACCGGATGACTTCCTACAGACCAGTGTGAATGCATGCATGTGTGGGTTTGGTTGAAATGGAAGGAGAGCACACAGAGAGACAGGGGAGCACGATAAGTGCATAAACAAACGTGCGATTGCTTCTGGCTGTGTGTGATTGTGAATGTGTGTTATATGTGTACAAAAATGAAATCAACTGAGACACAGAGGCAGAGAGAGACAGGGTGACAGAGAAACTAATGGATACCTAAAGTGTGTGTATGGATGCATGAATGAAAGTGTGAGCGCCTGTGGCTGTCTGTGTGTGCGACTGTGCCAGACGACTTGGATTTATTTCAAAGTCTTTATAGCCCGCCAACCTATTTTAACAACAACAACAAACTATTTCAGTAGCACTTCCATGCATCACGCCAATCACAGGGACACCTTTTTATGTGTGTGTGTGTGTGTGTTTGTATGTGTGTGTATGTTCTTACCATCCAACAAAAAGTATTCAACTTCTCCACCTTCGCCCTCATCCCCATCGTGTGCATGGAGCTGGTAGACAAACGTTCCTTTCGGGGCCTCGGGGGACACCACTGTCAGATAGGGGTACGGCTTCATACTCCACTCAGGGACGTTGTCATTGACATCAATGATCCTCAGCTTCACCTTGTTCAGGTACCAATCTGGGCCTGGGGGATAGTGCAGAAAAAGTGCCAGAGTTGCGGTTACTGAAAGCGACAGCTGTCATGTAACTGTGCGTTCAGACGAGACAAGCAGCCGCCGGAATATAGTGCAGCGGGACATAAAGTCAGCTAAGAGTGTATGAGATACCCTGCCCCAGGATAAGAACAAATGTCAATTATTCTTTAAAAAATACAGTCTTTGTTTAGCTAAAGTCACAGTCAGTTACCACATCAAGTTTACGCACTTTCTCGTAGCTTTTTTTTTTGTGCTTCACCATAACTGGCAGACTTGGGAGATTGCAGTGAATGGATGTCAGAGAAGCTCTGTGAGCCTGCTGAGGAGACTGCTGGAGCTGACATCAGTTAGCCAGTCTCCATCGAGGCTCCTATCCAGAGATCCAGACACTCAAGCTCCCATGAGAGAAAGTCTCAGCCTCAGTCTCATCTACCAATCCGGTGTAAAGCTACCTTGATCTTCCCACAGGGCCCTATGGCTGCATGTATTTTGTCACCTGCACACTGTGCCTCATTGGAGAAAATAAGAAGATTCCAAGAATCCAATTACCAACTTGCTCACCCTGAGCTGGTGCAGACAGCCCGAGTGCACAGCTACTCTGAAGGAAAAGCTGTGTACAACTGCATTGCGGTCTATTTGACAGGAGTGTAGCATAGCTTCTGCTGGAACTGATGGCAGGGGATCGTTATCCACATTAAATACCACGACATGACCTGGAAACTGTGCATACCAAACTTCTTACACTGTCAAGGAACTGATCTGGGGCACTCTTGGTGCGGGATCTATTCCTGCGAAGTGGAGCACGTCACAGAATTGTGAACTAAGACACTTTTACCACAAACACTGGCTGTGATCTCATGTCAGCGTGGCATGAAGAAATGTCAGAACCGCTGCCAAACAGTTCAGTAGGCTGCAGTCCACAGAGGCCATCTGCCTCATCCCAGTGAGGGTAAAGCCCTGCCAGGACAACACAAACACATGCTCCCACAGATAAAAACACGAGTCACGAGTGTCTGACGTAGAGCCAAGACGTCTTGTCACACCTTGACACATGTTTCCACACTTGACAGAGCTAATGCTGGCTGTCTATGTGAGTCTTTCTCATCTTTACTCACGCAGACACACGCGTGCACAGGTAATTTAGCTCAGGGGGTTAAAAGTAGTTTGGATTTTAAATCTCATTATGTAAAAGGTCTCCTGTGCAGCCACAGGCTATTAATGTACTTTTAAATCCAAAACGAAGCAGCAAGAGTTCATGTTGCATTTATTTCCCCTGGAGGCCAAATCAACAAGTGCTTTGTGTCTGAAAGGAGTTCTGCTGCTGTGGTTTAAATGATTTTCAAATCTGAAAAGCCAAGTCCACTTCTCAAGGCTAATTCCCATGCCTTCTTTTATTTAACCCATTACTCTTTGGCCTATTTGAAAGGGGATCAAAAACTACATGATCATTACTGATCATTAAAGATATCCTCAGTAAAAGAAATGCTGGCATTAACATGGAAAAACATTTATTTCTATTATTCATCTGTAGCAAATGTTGACACATCAATAGGTGCAGAGCTGTACATCTGTGAACACAGACTCTCAAATATCAGACAAGAGCAGAGCAATAAGAGGTAATTTAATCATTATGTCAGAGAGCTACAGTACATGTATTTACCAGTACCTCAACACAATCATCAATAGATACTCAAGTATACAAGTATGAACAGTTTATATGTTATATATATTTAATATTTTAGTGTAGGTGGATCACTTTAGCCTCTGAATAGTAGCTGCGAAGACACAAAACTGTGGACACTAGTGATGGGCGATACCAGCGTTTTTGATTGACACCATACCCATCACCCATCAGCCACTTAATACTGTAGTATGTATTTTCATAACATATAAGTCATTTGTTTCTTTTTCACACAGTGTAACCGAGTTAAATTGAAAGGACACAGACATGTCTAGTCCACTTGATCACATGGAGTTACTGCTCCCTGCTGGTCAATGCTCACGTGCCACAAATTAATTAGTTCCATTTTACTTTACCAGGGGGCGTAGCAGCACAAAAGCCTGTATGTAGTAAATTACCACCAAAGATGTAGAAGTGACACAGGATAGGGTTTTTGTTTTGTTTTGTTTTTTTCATTATTTATTAGTATTCATACTTTATGAGAGTAGTTGATACTCAGTTGACACCTGAGAGATTCTCGATCAAACACCTGTGAACGTCTCATTTTATATAACTGTTTTTCAAAGGTTTACTTTAAATTTAACATAGCACCATGACTCAACATTGCAGAAAAATGAGCAGTTATTTGTGACATGAAAGTTAGCCTCACTCCAGGTCTGTGATGGAGAGTGCACTCGTATGCAGCCCACAGGTCTCAGGTAGCAGCCGTGTAATCCTCACAGTGGCTTAGACGATGCGTTATATGAGTGACTGACGACAGGGCAAACATTACTCAGCCATTCACCGAGAGGAGAAATGTGATGTAGCCGTCAACACAGAATTGCAGGTCTCCACCCAAACATGTCAAAGATGTGAGACGAGTGATGGAAGTCATAATTTAGCCTGGCTACATATCAACACTTGAGCTGCAGAGCATTTATTACACAGGAAGTGCTGTTGTTTACAGCTGTTTTGTAATTTATTTTTTGTTTATCTTCTTATCATCACATTAGGGAAGTAATAAGACACTAAGAGGACTTGATGGTGACCTGTTTAGATTTAAATCCATTATAACTGATGAGAGAAAACCTAGAGGTGGTGGTGAGCATTGCATTTTTTAATGAATTTGGTTCTAAAACTACAGACTTACACAAATAACAAAGTAAATCATTTATCATATTCTAATAGGAAAAACTATCACTGACCTTACCAAGGAAGATGGTAGGCAATGTAGTTCCCAAAACTTGTCTGAAATGCAGCTCTGAACAATTACAGAGCCGTATACTTTACTAACACTTTCAAACAATACCAAGTTTATTGACTGACAAGAGCGCTGCCACATCAACCAAAGATTTTTAAACTCGTGTTTCAGCCCAATATTCAGGCTATTATCGTCTTCAGACCAACTGGGACCACAACATTTCCATCCTTAAGACATTAGTGAGCAATTCATGCATGAAAGGTGAGGGCAAAAGGAACTTGTCAGATTCTTTGTTAAATATTTGCCCTTATTTATTTGTTCTGTCAGTCACAGTGAAATGATATTGATTCTTTGCTTGTTCGGTTTATACTTCTCGCCCACATGATACATGATTTTGGTTATTAGTTCTTAAAGAAACTGTGCCAATTTTTTTATGTTGTTCAGATTGAATAATCTAAATAAAGATTACATATGGTGCTGATATGTTGCTAAGGCTACAAGCTGATACAAAAAAAATCAAGAAAATATGGTTTTGTCTTTTACAATGATTGCAATCTGTTCAACCCAACTCCAAATTAATCAATTAAAAATGAGAGATAAATCTAATTTTAATTAGTAACTTAAAAATAGTAGAACTTTTCCTGAAGACTAAGTTAAACTTTGCTAGGTTTGGTCAGAGTAGAACATAAAAAACAAGAGTGGTTCAAGACTACACTGTATTTCTTCATAATTCTTTCACAGCATTTATTCGCTCAGATGATTGGGGACGCAGAAAAGCGCTGCTGAGATGGTGATTCCTATTTCTTTTTTTAAACTGGCTTAAGTTTGATGGAAAATACACTACACTGCTTAGCAGACATGGGGAGCTACCACAAGTGAATCACAATAGCCATAAAGTGTGTGACAGCTCCTAAAAGGATTGTTAGAAGGATAATAACAGAGGGTGGAAGAAGCTAGAGGAGAGAATTAATCTAGCTTTCCGTTTAGGCTTTAAAGTTGCTCTGCCCAGAGAAAAGTTCTGATATGCATTTGACTGCAGTTCATTTTGGATAAATAGCCAATGTTTTGTTGGGGCAGAGAAACCAATCAACGTACAGATGCTATCTCCTAATATGTTGACAGCAGCAATTTATGCGATTTAAGTCGGCTCATTTTGCCACGTGAGACAGAAGAACTCTTCTGTGATTAATGCTGGGAAAGGATAAAGACTCCTCTCCAGTGCAGAAGGGTTTAGACACCACTTAATCAAAAACAAATCAGAGCTTTACCTCTTAACATTTCAGTTGACTGTTAAATCTTTTCAGGCAGAAGTGCAAGATACATTCCTTGCCTCCTTCTTGTTGGTGTCTATCCCAACCATGTCTCTGTGGTAATGGTGTTGATGATTTTACAAGGCTCCGTCTAATTAGCTAGTTACACAGAGACTAATCAGAGCCAAGGCAGATAATTAGAGCCTATCAGCTTTGGAATGATAATGAAGAATGTTCTGCCATTCTGTGTGTATGTGTGTGTGTGTGTGTGTGTGCGCGCGCACGCGCATTTATTTGGTGAGAGGCCGATTGTGTGAGCGGTTGATTGAACGTGCAGATTATTGGTGCTGAGGCTGCAAACATATGCAGGTACTTGTCGACCTGGTGGTGAGTTAAGTGGTGAGCGGCTTTGATGGTGATGGAATCCCAGCTGACTAACACACAGAATATGAACAAATCCTCTCAGCGTTCAGATGCTCACAGGCTCCACTGGAGTCTAATGTGCGTTTGGTGCTCTTTCTAACAAAAAGCTTGGCCATACACTATGCTGTTAAATCCCTCAAGAATGAGAGCATCTGCAGGGATACTAACACGATAATGCATCATAAAGGTGGCTGACAGGAGAGCAGAGTGTGGCCGGCCGAGGGCTCATCCAGTACAAAGAGCTCTCTGGGTGTTGCACGTGTGTTCCATAATCACTGTGAGCCATTGTGCCCATGTTTTCTGCTGCTAATCCCTTCCCTGTGTAGTTGCTATATAAAGATGCTAAGTGGCTTTGCCGCATAGAAGAGAAAAGTTGTCTCAAGTGCACATATACACCGCTCGCAGTAGACGGACACCGAATATGTGTGGGAAGGAGATGAGAGGAAACCAAGTGAG